GCAGCCCCCTGCCACAGCGACCCCCTGCCCGTGACATCACATCTTCCCGCCTCACAGCTCCCGTTCCCCTCCCTCGCTCTCACCAGTGTCCCCCAGTGCCTGCCTGGCTCCGCCACACCCCAGAGATGCTGCATCTGGGCGAATGTCCCAGAAGAGCCAACCCTGGGAACTAAATCAGGGACCCCAGAGGCCAAAGCTCATTCCCCACAGGGCAGGGCTACTCCGACGGGGGATTCTGGAGGCTTTTAGAAATAAACTCAGCCAGGCTGGAAAATGACTCCACAGACCGATGGGCTGGCCCGGGAGCCAGGGCCTCGGCACGACGGTGCTTGCTGCCCCGCGGGTTCCCCAGTCAGAGACCGAAGAATCCCACAGGGGCAAGCTGCGGGGGAGGGGCCATACCTCGATCCAGCATCCCTGTCCAAGAGGAGGTGCCGTAGCGTGGCGACGACTCTGGAGTCCTCTCCCAGGCCAGCTCTGTCTCCCCCCACAGAAGAGCTCGGCCTGGGCAAAGGCAGACCGGAGCTTCGTCTCGGTAGCGCCACTGGTATCTCCACAAACGCTAACGCAGTCCACCTGCCGGGGCCAAGCGAGAGCAGATTGAAGGAGGCTGAGGCCCAGGGGCAGGCCCTGCAGAGGGACAAAGCAGCAAGCCGGGTAAGAAATCCCCAGCTGGACACTCTCAGTGTTGTCAAGGCCCCGCACTAGAGAGAAGAGGCAGCAGCTGGCCACTCAGGCCAAGGCAGAAGGCGTGCGAAGGGGGCACAGCCAGGCTCTGGGCGGGAGAGCGGAAGAGGAGACCCAGGAAGGTGGAGGAACGTGGGAGCTGAGCTGGGCAAAAAGAAGCAGAGAGAGAAAGGCACCTGGGGCCATCTGGCCAACTCCCCCACAAGAGGTCATCCCAATGCGCAGCAAGAAAAACAAATCTGGTAGGCGACCAGATTGGCTTACCGGGGGAATCCTTGGTGAGCTTACACACAAAAAGGAAGCTGACAAGAAGCAGAACTTTGGACAGATGACTAGGGAGAAGTATAAATATAGCTGCTCCCCGAGTTGTGAACGGTCGAGTTACGACCGTGCGCACTTACGACCAAAGCTCCCATGGAGCGGTCGTAAAGGTGGTCCCCGAGTTACGAACGTGACCCACGCTTATGAACAGCGCGGTCGCGTGTAACTCAACGGGGTCCGAGTTACGACAGATCGAGTTACGGCCAAGTGTTTGGTCCGTAACGCGTTCGTAACTCGGGGAGAGGCTGTATGTTGCTCGAGAATGCAAGGGAGTTATCAGGAAGGCAAAAGCGCAATTGGAATTGCAGCTAGCAGGGGATGTGAAGGATAACAAGAAAGGTTTCTACAGGCATGTTAGCAGTAAGAGGATGATCAGAGAGGGTGTGGGGCCCTTACTGAATGACGGAGGTAACCTAGTGACAGATGGTGTGGGGAAAGCTGAAGTACTCAATGCTTTCTTTGCCCCTGTCTTCACAGACAAGGTCAGCTCCCAGACAAATGCACCAGGCAACGCAGTATGGGAAGGAGGGAGGCAGCCTTTGGTGGGGAAAGAACAGGCTAGGAACTATTTAGAAAAGCTAAACGTACACAAATCCATGGGTCTGGATTTAATGCATCCGAGGGTACTGAGAGAGTTGGCAAATGTCATTGCAGAGCCTTTGGCCATTATCTTTGAAAACTCCTGGAGACTGGGAGAGATCCCGGATGATTGGAAAAAGGCAAATGCAGTGCCCATCTTTAAGAAAGGGAAGAAGGACGATCCAGGGAACTACAGACCCGTCAGTCTTACCTCAGTCCCCAGAAAAATCTTGGAGGGGATCCTCAAGGAATCCATTTTGAAGCACTTGGAAGAGGGGAAGGTGATCAGGAATAGTCAGCATGGATTCACCAAGGGCAAGTCGTGCCTGACCAATCTGATTAGCTTCTATGATGAGGTAACTGGCTCAGTGGATATGGGGAAGTCGGTGGATGTGATATATCTTGACTTTAGCAAAGCTTTTGATACGGTCTCCCATAATATTATTGCCAGCAAGTTAAGGGAATATGATTGGCTAAATAGACTGTAGGGTGGATAGAAAGCTGGCTAGACTGCCGGGCCCAGCGGGTAGTGATCAACGCTCGATGTCAGGTTAGCGGTCGGTTTCTAGCGGAGTGCCTCAAGGATCGGTTCTAGGGCCGGTTTTGTTCAATATCTGTATTAATGACATGAACGAGGGGATGGGTTGCACCCTCAGCAAGTTCGCAGATGACACTAATCTCAGGGGAGAGGTAGATACGCTGGAGGGCAAGGATAGGGTCCAGAGTGACCTGGACAGATTAGAGGATTGGGCCAAAAGAAATCTGATGAGGTTCAACAAGGACAAGTGCAGAGTCCTGCACTTGGGATGGAAGAATCCCAAGCATAGTTACAGGCTGGGGACCAACTGGCTAAGTAGCAGTTCAGCAGAAAAGGACCCAGGGTTACAGTGGATGAGAAGCTGGATATGAGTCAACAGGGCGCCCTTGTAGCCAAGAAGGCTAATGGCATATTAGGGTACATTAGGAGGAGCATTGCCAGCAGATCTAGAGAAGTGATTAAACTGCTTTATTTGGCTCTGGTGAGGCCACATCTGGAGTAGTGTGTCCAGTTCTGGGCCCCCCACTATAGAAAGGATGTGGACGCATTGGAGAGGGTCCAGCGGAGGGCAACCAAAATGATTAGGGGGCTGGAGCACATGACCTATGAGGAGCGGCTGAGGGATTTGGGTTTGTTTAGTCTGCAGAAGAGAAGAGCGAGGGGGGATTTGAGAGCAGCCTGCAACTTCCTGAAGGGAGGTTCCAAAGAGGCTGGAGAGGCTGTTCTCAGTGGTGACCGATGGCAGAACAAGGAGCAATGGGCTCAAGTTGCAGTGCAGGGTGGTCTAGGTTGGATATTAGGAAAAACGATTTCCCTAGGTGGGTGGGGAAGCCCTGGGCTGGGTTCCCCAGGGAGCGGGTGGAATCCCCATCCCTAGAGGTTTTTAAGTCTCGGCTTGACACAGCCCTGGCTGGGTTGGTTTAGGTGGGGTTGGTCCTGCCTTGGGCAGGGGGCTGGACTGGATGACTCCTGAAGTTTCTGTCTGCGCTGGGATTCTATGACAGCAGGAGCAGGCAGAGAAGACGAGAGGTGCTCACAGGCCCAGGCTCTGACCAAACAGCAAACACTGAAAGCAGCCGCCAGGGAGGGAAGGGAAACCAGTGACCTTGGTGGGCAACGCCACAGCGGGAAATGCAGCCAGAAGCGAGGGGGTGCAGAAGGGACCCAGCATGCCCTGCAGAATGCTGGGCTCTTCTACCAGCGCTGCCCGCATGGGGACCCCGGCGTAAGGGAAGGACACCGCTCCCATGCCGAGTGTGCTTGGAGCCCCATCAGGCCGCAGCAGACTAAGCTCAATAGACCAGGCTGTCTCCAGATACCCGGCAGGGGTCAGAGCTAGCAGGCTGCAGTGCAGAGTGCGGGCAGGAGATGGGGAAGGAGGGAGGGAGCATGTCACACAAGCAGCCTGTGTTACTTTCCTATTTCCCATTGCACACAGAGCTGCTCTGCCAGAGGAGGCAGGGGCGGGAGGGAGAGAACAGAAAGGCACCACAGGCTGCGCAGCAGAAGTTACGACTGTTATTAAAGGAGGGGGCTCAGGCCTCGTGGGCGGGACTGAATCCCGGCGGGGTGACTCACAACTGGAGTGTCAGTGCGAAGGGGTGTGTTGTCTCTAGGAGGGAGGGGCAGGAGTGACTAAGCCGGCTTTTCGGGGAAAGGGGTGGGAGAGAGAGAGAGAGAGAGAGAGAGAGAGAGAGAGAGAGAGCCAACCCCTACCCCCCCAGCTCTGCACCAGCTGCCGAGTGCTCCCACTGCCGCGCTAAGGGCCAGGAGAGCACGGACCCAGGCCCAATCCGCCTGTGCAGTTCCATGAGGCGCCTCTCAAGGCTACATCCTGCAGGGCCTGGAGCGAGAGCTCTGATGCCCGGAGGCTCCGGTGCTAGCAGCTTTGTCTGCTTTGCCAGAGACACGTCTGACTCCTGCCCAGCTGTGTGTGCCGCGGGGGCACTTCCCAGCTGGGCAGATGTCCCCGCTCAGGGCCAGCAGCACCTGGGATCTCCAAGGACAGGCCTCTGCCTGCAGTTCTCCCAGAGGGAACTACACCGACCAGCCTACAACACCCTGCTTCACCATCGCTTCGACCATGGCCACGGCGCGGGCTGTACCTTGGGCCCATCACAGCATCCTTCTGCCAGAGTGACATTCCAAAGCCACCTTCGGTCGGCGTTCAGCAGTAAACGCTTGAAAGCGCCACCAGAACCTTTTGTTCTGAACATTGCAGAGTCACAAACAGGCCCCGTTCCCGAGGCGCCTGTCGCTCAGAGGTTGTGCTGTAGGCCAGAGGAGCGCTGAGCGAGGCCCCCCACGAACGCCTGCCACATTGCGACGGCAACGGTCATGCCGAGACACAGATACAGATGGGGGTTATGAATGGCTGCATCTGCGTGTACTAGGGCTGGGCAAAACACAGCCTGCAGGCCGAATGCAGCCAGCCAAGCCACCGCATCCGGCCGGCAGATGCAGCGGGGAGCCTCAGGCAGGCTCCCTGCTTTCCCCCCACCCCGCACACACTGCTGAGAAAAGTGGCTGCGGGCCGTTTCCCTTTCACAGCTATGAGCCTGGGGGACGGGGGAGAGACTTCCAGCTGCACAGCACAACCGCCCTCACTAACCCGAACCAAGCCATTCTCACCTTCCAGCGCCCCTGCTCCCGCTCCACACCGAGCATCTGAACAGCGAGGCCACGTTCCTAGCATTAGCACAGATGAACCCCACACCACAGCTGGACAAACCCGCTCTGCGGTTTCCCCTGCACCGGAGGAAACCCACATGGGCTAGGCTGCTTTGCTGCCGGCCGTCTCCGGCTCCTGTGCCTGGCCTGAACGCTTTCGAGGAACTGGACGGGCAAAGACAACCAGGAAACACCATGGGAACAGCTCCGGAATTAGCCATCCCATTAGACCTCTCCCAGAGTCCTAGAGCTGCTCCACAGCTCCGAAATGGCACAAACCAAAGTTCCGAGGGCGAGCCAGTTTGGAGAGAAGGGGGGAAATCGTTCGCTTTTTAAGCTGACCAGATTTCGTTGTTTTGAACACCCTGCCCCCTGCATCTCAGGAACGGCTCAGTGCGGGCCAATAACTCTCCTCTGGCGGCAGCCCGGGGGCCTGCTTTGGAGAGCACAGACCCTTTGGGGAGAAGCACTTCCTGATGCCCACAGTGCCTCGGCAGCCGAGCGCTGGGGACATACACACGCTGGGAGCTGTGTCCATCCAGGTATGTGTGTGGCCCCATCACCACAGCAGCTGAGTCATGAGAACCGTGTGTGCGTACACAAGGGAGGGGAGAGAGAGGTTAATAAAACGTTCAAGCACCTAGAGTCTGGAATGGGAGCTTTTACCAACACAAATTCTGGGGGCCACCCAAACTCTGCCACATGACGCTTCTCTGTCGTCTCAGTTCCTTATTCACAACGGTGCGCCTGTGTTGGAGGAAACTCCTGGGATTCTCTACCCGTGGTAAGTCCCCCAACCACCCGATCCCTCGTTGCGACCCACCTACAGGAATTACCTTGAACAAATGGAGATGGAGGCAGCTGCATGCAGCACGCACAGCCGTCATTTTCCCCCCGCCGCTGGGCCCTGCCAGTAGAACGCTGCCTGCTGCACAGAGTGCGGTCCCCCTGCAACGCAAAGGTAGCGATCCCTGTCACCCGCAGCGCCCGAGCCCTGCTCGCTCTCTGGCATGCCACTGCCGTCGCAGGGAGACTCTGCTCCCAACCTCCGCACCTCTCTGAGCAGACACCCCAGAAAGCCTGGGAGCCAAAGACAGCCAGCGCCCAGCCCACAGCACAAACCAGCCCCGAGATAAGGGAGCCGGGCCACACCGAGACCTCACCTGCTGCTCAGGTGAGGCCGGAGAGCATCACAGAGCTGTTTCACCACATCAGAGAGCCCGGAGGGAGACAGGCTGCTCCTCGGGGAAGAGGGCACAGCACTGTTAGTTGAGCCCGCCTGCAAGGCAAGAAAGACTCGCATGGGACATCGTCTCAAACCACCCAGCACCGCCTACAGCACCCATCCCGGGAGCAGAGCCAGGAACCCCTTTCTTCGCCATGCAGGGTCCTTCCGCCACCCCGGCAATGCGATCGGACCCTCGGAAATCCCCCGTGCACCCTCCTGTCAACTGCTGATACCTTACCAGGTACAGAGACGTGTTCTGGATGTCAGCCAGGTACCCTAGAGACTGCTCTCCTTCCACCGCTCCTACGATCCCCTTCACCTTGAAGTACAGCTCTGGCCAGCTGACAAAGAGAAGCAGCCTGAATCCCCACAGCCGAGGCCTCCGAAGCAGGGTGAGCTTTTCATCACCTGCAGGCAACAGAGGCCTCTAGGCCCCTGGTTACACACACAATAAACCAGGACACGAGGGGACACAAGGGAGATGTCTAGACTGTGTCCCTCTGTCAGCAGAGGGATGCAGGTTAGGCAGGTCGACATAGCAAATGAGGCAGGGATTTAAATATCCCATGCCTAATTTGAATAAAAACGGCCACTGCGTTTTGCTGACTCAGCACTTCGTCGACAAAAGTGGCAGTCTCGAGGGGGATCTGTCGAGAAAGAAGCCTTTTTTGGCAGATCCTGTAATCCTCCTTGCAGGAGGCATAAGGGATCTGTTGAAAAAGGCTTTCTTTCTCGACAGATCCCCCTCGAGACTGCCACTTTTGTCGACGAAGTGCTGAGTCAGCAAAACGCAGTGGCCGTTTTTATTCAAATTAGGCATGGGATATTTAAATCCCTGCCTCATTTGCTATGTCGACCTGCCTAACCTGCATCCCTCTGCTGACAGAGGGACACAGTCTAGACATACCCAAGGAGACTATCCCCTCTCCCCTCCCAACTGGCAGACAGTGGGGAAGTATCTGTCCTGAAGTATTCTGAGCCCTTTGCACATTCTGTTGCTTAATAAACCCACTGCCTACGTGGGTGTTAGGTCAGTATAACTCCATCTCTAGGGCGCGGCTGTTGCACACCCGAGTGACACGCTTACACCAATACAGGTCGGTAGCTAGATCGGGCCCAAGAAACAAGTCTGCTCCCAGAATGAGCTTCTTTGACATAAAAAAACCCCACCAAAATTGTTTGTTTTATCCACATTTATTTTAAGAGTATCTTGGCTAGTCTAAAAAGCGCTCCACTGTGCACACACAACCGTGTCTGCAGACAGAACCACCTACTCGGCGCAGAGGTGTGTGCGTGCTAAGGCAGAGAAAAGCGTGGTAACCCCGGCTCTCTTGACAGAGATCACCAGGAACAAGAAGACGAATGACACTATTACATGTCAATGATCTCTGTTTACCATTACCAGATTTTGGTTTTGTTTTACCTGTTGGATAGCGGTTTTGACACTTTGAGTCAAACAGAAACCCACTTTTATGTCTTGAAATAACAGACAGGCACCAATTAACAGAAACAATTGCAAATATTTCAAAGGGGTCATTAGAGGTTTTGATGAGGGCAGTGTTTACCCGTTTCTATAGTAACAAAACCACTTTCAATGCTTCCTATCAGGCTTCAGTTTAAAGCAGACAGACAAAAGCTTTTAAATGCGATGGTTTGCGTACATATAGTGAAGATACATTTAGTCCAGCAACTGCTGGCATCTGCCACTTAACAAAGATGCACTAAATCAAAAAAGCCCCTCAGAGCAGAACAAGGAATGTCCACATGGGGAAACAGACCAGCATAACTACCGAGGTTTAAATTCACACCTTAGGATAAACTGTTATAACATCCCCACTTAGGCCCGAATGTCTACTTCAATCGGCTTTTCTGTCGTGGAAAAGCTCCCTCCCCTTCGCTCCTCCCCTATCCTCTTTTCCCCACCAGTTTCTCTCTAAGGGCTGCTTTGCTGAGCAAAGAGGTAAGTGCATGCCCACTAAAAATCCAACCAAAACTTTTAATCCAAACCACCCCTGCAAGTCCCACAACAGATCAACTCTGAGCTGCAGGGACAGATCAGAACAGAGTCTATCGCGTGGCTTCAACTGGGAGAGAAGGGAAAAGTGGATCTTATAAGCGCCACCTGAAAAAGCAAAGGGAGATCTCTGCATACCTAAGAAATTTCTCTGAATTTCCTTCCAAAAACTCCGGATGTCCAGCAGTTGGAACACACAGGATATCACCCCCCTGGACTATCCTGCAACAAAGCAACAGGCACAGTGAACGATCAACTCTGTCAAGTTGTGCAGTGGTTCACACCCCCAGAATATTACACCAGTGAGAAACAGTCACTCAATCAGCAGCGCTACCTTTAGCTGAGCAAGAGGAGAGGCGGGGGGGGAAGGGAAAGGAAACTCAGCAGGGATGTAAACTCCCATTTAATTGGTTAAATGGTATGGGACTGAGTCCTGAGGAATGATTTGAAGGAAGAGCTTGAGGAAGCTTGGAGGTAGGCAGGGCGGATCAATAGTGGAGAACAGCTCTCGGTACTACCCCTAAACTATTTTGCTGAGTTAAGCAGGCAGCAGGGTGAGACTTTCCAAATATTCCCAGGTTCGTTAGTGATCACTCTCAGTGAGCATTAGAGGGCTTAGTCAACTGTGCTGTGGTACTTTGGAGGTGCCCTGCTCGCTGTGAGGCAGCGAAGTATGGCTCTGAGATGCTCCCTTCTTCCTAGAGCAACTAAAGAGACAGGAATAATGTGTCAGCTTTACCGCAAGGCTAACCTGGGTGTTTGGAAGTGCTGGTGAAGAATATTGTCATAGACTCCTCTGGTGCTGTAGGCTGGGGAGGAGACTATTTCTATGTGCAGCTCCTTTGCAAAGGGTGGTATGGATAGCAAGGACCGACTTCCCTTTGTCTCTTCCATACCGGGAGCATCCCCATACCTCTGCAATGCAAACAATGGCCCCATTGAGTCTTAACGCAGCTGAACCATCCCGAGGAAGTTATGCCTCACTTACCCTCAACTTCCAGATGGTAACACCCTACAGCGCACTCATGCCAAGCCCGCTTTCCGCCCCACGGTGCTGAAAACCTGCTCTACTTTCTCCAGCCAAGGGGAGGAAGAGACAGCAGCTCCCTCCCCAGGCAGCTGGAGATGGTGCCAGTGCAGCGCTCCCACCAAGCATCTGGGACGTTAGCGGCCCCCCACTGGCGCTGCCCCACCTGGGGGGCCGGCTGCCCAGCTCCTTCCTTTCCCGTGCAGGTACCTCACCTTCCTCCGGCCCCAGGGCTTCTCCAGCAAGGCCAATAGAGAGTGCGCGCAGAGCGTCCCACCAGGGCAGGGAGCAGCGAGAGCGCGCGCAGAGCGGCGCCTGGAGACCATAGAGAGCGCGCAGAGCGGCGCCCGAATACCATAGAGAGCGCACGCAGAGCGGTGCCCGGAGACCATAGAGAGCAGAGCGCGCGCAGAGCGGCGCCCGAATACCATAGAGAGTGCGCGCAGAGCGTCCCACCAGGGCAGGGAGCAGCGAGAGCGCGCGCAGAGCGGCGCCTGGAGACCATAGAGAGCGCGCAGAGCGGCGCCCGAATACCATAGAGAGCGCACGCAGAGCGGTGCCCGGAGACCATAGAGAGCAGAGCGCGCGCAGAGCGGCGCCCGAATACCATAGAGAGTGCGCGCAGAGCGTCCCACCAGGGCAGGGAGCAGCGAGAGCGCGCGCAGAGCGGCGCCTGGAGACCATAGAGAGCGCGCAGAGCGGCGCCCGAATACCATAGAGAGCGCACGCAGAGCGGTGCCCGGAGACCATAGAGAGCAGAGCGCGCGCAGAGCGGCGCCCGAATACCATAGAGAGTGCGCGCAGAGCGTCCCACCAGGGCAGGGAGCAGCGAGAGCGCGCGCAGAGCGGCGCCTGGAGACCATAGAGAGCGCGCAGAGCGGCGCCCGAATACCATAGAGAGCGCACGCAGAGCGGTGCCCGGAGACCATAGAGAGCAGAGCGCGCGCAGAGCGGCGCCCGAATACCATAGAGAGTGCGCGCAGAGCGTCCCACCAGGGCAGGGAGCAGCGAGAGCGCGCGCAGAGCGGCGCCTGGAGACCATAGAGAGCGCGCAGAGCGGCGCCCGAATACCATAGAGAGCGCACGCAGAGCGGTGCCCGGAGACCATAGAGAGCAGAGCGCGCGCAGAGCGGCGCCCGAATACCATAGAGAGTGCGCGCAGAGCGTCCCACCAGGGCAGGGAGCAGCGAGAGCGCGCGCAGAGCGGCGCCTGGAGACCATAGAGAGCGCGCAGAGCGGCGCCCGAATACCATAGAGAGCGCACGCAGAGCGGCGCCCGGAGACCATAGAGAGCAGAGCGCGCGCAGAGCGGCGCCCGAATACCATAGAGAGCGCACGCAGAGCGGCGCCCGGAGACCATAGAGAGCGCGCAGAGCGGCGCCCGAATACCATAGAGAGTGCGCGCAGAGCGTCCCACCAGGGCAGGGAGCAGCGAGAGCGCGCGCAGAGCGGCACCCGAATACCATAGAGAGCGAGCGCAGAGCATCCCGCCAGGGCAAGGAGCAGTGAGAGCGCTCGCAGAGCGGCGCCTGGAGACCATAGAGAGCAGAGCGCGCGCAGAGTGTCCCGCCAGAGCAGGGAGCAGCGAGAGCGCACGCAGAGCGGCGCCCGAATACCATAGAGAGCGTGCGCAGAGTGGCACCCGGCAACCATAGAGAGCGCGCGCAGAGCGGCGCGCGGCGGCCATAGCGAGC